CATTATCATATTATCATTAGGCTACTGTTGTTGTTGTTGATGTTGTTGTTGTTGTTACTATTATTATTATCATTATCATAAACTCTATTAATTTAGTCATTTTTTAATACATTATTTACTCTTCGGTAAAATGCAATTTAATTTTCCGTAACATAATATTTACTCTTCTTAAAAGCAATTAATCTTCCGTGAACATAACATTTACTCTTCCATAAAATGCAACCCGATCTTCTAGTTTTGCAGTCAGCATGACGTTGTTAACCCTTTTATTGCTGAGCTAGACATTTCCAGCTTGGTTTGTACAGAAAAGATAAAATACTCATTTAAGAGACTAAAACAAATCTACAATACTTCTTCCGTTATTTATGAATAAGGAATTGCATAAGCTGTTGGCCTAATTACATTTTTTAAATAAAATTTCCCTACAGGCCAGCTGAAAAATAATATCACCATCATTGTCATGTTACATCAGTCAGTTTAAGGGAAAAAAATTGATCAAGTGTTATTCGTACACACCTTAAAATGGCAGTAGAAAATAATATGGTTAGTTGAATAATTGAGTAAGTGCTCAAAGAAATGTTATGTAGACAAGCACTATTTCTTTTATCTAGATAAGCCTGACATAATCGCTTTAAAATGAAAAAAAAAGAAACAAGAGAATACATAATAATATAGTAGGTCTATAATTGGATACCTGAGAACAACACCAAGGTCAAGTCACATTTAGATGATTTCAAGAGAATGAGCAAAAAACCTCGTCATGAAATACTTCAAGTAAGTTCTGATAAGAGGCCTGAAGAAGACTTTTTCTGTACTTGACCTTGTTGTTGCATGAAGGCTTTTGATATGTCCTCTTTGAACAAGAATAACTGGACGTAGAAACAGAGCAGTGCTTCATCAGTCATCAGTGCTATTAATAGTTATAACCCTTTGTCCCCGCTTTCAAATAATATGCAGAACTCTTATTTTTAGGAAAATGTGACTTAACCTTGATGCTGTTCTCAGGTCTTCAATTATAATACTTACATTTTTTGGTACACTACCATGTGTGTGTTGATTTTAAAATGCATTATACCAAGTGTATGGCTTTATTTGTGATCAGCTCTGATTGACGGGGTGGGGGGGGAGGGGGGGCTTGTAGGGGGGCCACTGGTGGGTAGGTCCAAATTCTTTTCTTGGCCTCTGTTGTTTCTGTCTGTTGTCTTTCTCTTTCCCAGAACTATTATATGGCCGCTTTCGTATCGATGAGCTTGTCTTTTCTCTGACCCAAGTTCAAAAGGTTTATAATTATGCGAGCAGGGTCAGTTGTGACATACTCATCACCTGGTCTTTGCTTGGGTGTTGTGGCTTTGAATTCGCGTGATCGGATGTCTACTGACTAACTCCTCCTGGTGGACACTTGCACCTCGATGGGAATGTTTTCTTCTCAAAGGTGTTTTACACTCCTATCAACGCAATTTAGATCATTTAAGAGGCGAGCGTAGACCCTGTCTGTCACGATCAACCTGGCCTGAGAGGGATACAACGTCCCAGCAAATAAACCGAGACACTTGATAAAAATTCTCCTCACAGGGGAATCAAACTCAGGTCTACTGCAGGTGACTGCAAAGCGCCTAACCGCTACACAACAGTTGCCAGTGACCGGACACGTGACAGTAGCTATTTGTACAACTATGTCAGTCATCTCAGAGAGATAGGGAAAGAGTCGACTCTGCTACAATGTTAAGTAGTCCTTGGAGATAAAAGAGATGACTATTTCTACGACTATATTAGACATAAATGATGGATTGGATATTCATAGAAATTGGTTAGAAAACTTTGAGAGATAAAAGACAGAATAGGTTTATTTCCAAAATTGTGTTCGACGAAAGTAATGAATCGGCTATTTATAGAGGTAAATTAGATATTTTTGAGAGGTGAAAGGAAAAATCTGTATAATTCTACAACTATGTTAGACACAAAAGACCGCTTAGCTATTTAAATAACTTGGTTAGAAGTCTATGCGAGGTTTTCGCCAGGTGAAAGAAACAAAATCTGTCTATTTCTAACACTTTATTAGGCATTGATGAGTGCTGAAGAAGCAACTGTTTCTACAAGGTTTCACAGCCATACGTGATGAAGAAGCTTCTATTTGCACAACAAAGTTCCTCATCCCTGTGTGAGGAAGGAGTGGATATTCTCACAACTAGGTTTCACATCCATGCATGACGAAGAAGCGATATTTGTACAGCAAAGTTTCACAACTCTGTATGAGGAATAGAAGGGACTATTTCTACAACTAGGTTTCACATCTCGGCGTAAGGATGAAGCGACTATTTGTACAACATCCCTGCGTGAGGAAGCAGTACCAGGCGAATGAGTGCGAGGACGAATTATAAAGGTGTGAGAGGAAGAAGAAGTGAACGGGCTCACTTTGTTGGAACGTACTTCTGGCCTGAGCGAGAAGACTGAGTGGTCCTTGGTGTAGGCGTCTCCGAAGCCAAAAGCCGGGATAACACCGTCGTCGTCGAATGGCTCCAGAGTCTCACCGAGGGTACAGATCACCTGGAGGAGAGAGGGGGAGACAGAGAGAGGGGAGGGGAGGAGTGACGGGGAGGGGAGAGAGGGAG